GGGAGGGGGTTCTTACAAAGTTGACGTTAGCCATGGTGCTGTAAAAGGTTAGGGGAAGAGGTGGGCAAAATCCGGATAATCTATCCGAATAGCCGGATAATTAGCAATGAAACATTGTCTGAATTCAGACTCTTAACTCACTTTCCTGGCCTGCTTGCCGAAGTGGGTGTACTCATTTGTTGAAGTGATGCTTACCCGTTTGTCGAAGTGGTTCTAACCCATTTGCAGAAGCGGTTCTATCATATTATTTGCCGAAGAGGTGCACTAACATATTATCCGGATTTTGCTAAAGCGATTCATTGCCCAGCTCTAGTTGGGGGAACAAAAGAAAAGACAAGAAAGGAAGAAAAAATGTGTGAGGCAGCGTGGTGGAATCAGGCTCTCGTCAAAATAATCAAAGAGAAGAAACTTGCATTTTTCTGCTCTTTTGTGAATTTTTATCAAATTTTTGTTTTTTGGCTCAACACTTTTCAAGCCCATTCTTTAATTTTTGTGTGCATTTTGCTGAAAAACATTAATTAAAGGCACAAAAAAAAATGTAAATTTTCAGTTACCTCGGACTCTTAAGCTAAGGAAATAACTTATCTTTTTCGGCCATTTTCTCACTAATTTTACCTCTGAAAACAAGTGACCCCCACCTCCTTCATTCGCAAATATATTGACTTGTATTCATGATAAATGGATATTACTTTCATCCAAATAAACACAAGTGAACAAGCTTTAAGATGATACCAATAACTCTACATGCCCAAAAAATGGACGAGAGCCTGATTCCACCACGCTGCCTCACATATGTGAAAGATGACAGAACATGACAAGAGGTTGGGGGGGGGGATGACAGAAAAGGGCAAGGGGGGGGGGGGGTAGTTTTTGGCCAAATTTTTAGCTGACGTCATTTGTGAACGGTCCCTTAAGGAAATTCGTCCTTTCTTCTTCTTCCTCCTCCTCCTACTGACCTACTACTACTACTACTACTACTACTACTACTACTACTACTACTACTACTACTACTACTACTACTACTACTATCATCATCATCATCATCATCATCTCCGCAGAACATGCGTGTGGTTCGTCTGGCCGTGTCTTTGGGCGGTGTAGAGAGTATCTTGGAACACCCGTACAGCATGACCCACGGGAAGTATCTGCTGAGTCCTGAGGAGATCGCTGAGTCCGGGATCACACCAGGCATGCTTAGGATCAGGTCAGTGCTTCTAGGTAGATTTTATCAATAATAAGAGGAACTTTCTAGGAAAAAAAAGCAGTAGACTTTATCTTTAGGCTAGAAAAAGCACACTTTTAAGAGTAGGTTATTAATTGTTTACCTGTATTGATGTCACACACACACACACACTCACACACACACACACACACACACACATAATATATACATGTATTAACGTTACAACACACACACACACACACACACACACACACACACACACACACACACACACATGCACGCAAACACACACACACACACACACACACACACACACACAATACAAACACACACAACACACAGTGTGTTGTATACGTGTATGTGTGTGTATGCATGTGTACTTATTTGTGATTGTGTGTATGCATGTGTGTATGTGTGTGTGTGTGTGTGTGTGTGTGTGTGTGTGTGTGCATGTGTTGTAACCTTAATACATATCTATTATGTATACATCTACTACCGCCTGTATAAGTGTCTTGTATACATGTATTTGCTGGTACGTTCTCTGTCCTTTGTAATTAAAATACAAATGTAGATTTCTTTTTAAAAAATTAACCTCTTCAATGCTGAACAATTTCCATCAACATCTGTACCGACAAGATAAACTGTTAATACAAGGAATATTGAAACTCAGAGAATTGTTTCAGAAACAGCAAAATGACAAGCTGTAACTATACCAACTAAAACTACCTTTGTCAACCAGATGAAATAATGTAAGTGGAGAATACGAGCCAGGACATACGTTTTCTCAGCAGTGAAGAGGTTAAACAATTTTGGTGACATGATCTAACTTCTAACGCACTCTTTCCTCAAGCTTGTAATGATAAGTCTCTCCACCGTTAGGCTAAACTGTCTCCGTGGTTTTATGCACCCCGCATAATTTAGCAAAATTCGATATTTTTTTGAATAATTTCTGATTATTTTCCTTTATCATTCTTTGTTTAAAATTACCAGAATCGCATAATTTCACATTTTTGAGCCCAGTTTGCATAATTTCATAATTTTTCTTGCATAACGACGGGGACAGGTATAAACAGGCAAGGGTGGGCGGTTGGTGGTTGCTCTGATAAGTGATATGAATTTATTCTTTCCTATCAAACATCTAATCTATTGCCCTTACCTTTCCTCCTTTCCTCTGCATGTTACTTTGCTAGTAACAGTAACTCTGAGAAACGTACACCTTTAATCTTCAGCTCTCCTATCACCTGTTTGGGCTGCAAGTGCCGTAAAACTCTTTCTAAGACTAAAACGGAAACAGACAAGGTCATCATGACTCATTCACAAGTTCCATTTTGTCCTCAGCATCGGCCTGGAAGACTCAGGCGACCTAATCAACGACTTTGACCAAGCTTTAGCGAAATTGGAGCTGTGATTGTTGGGATTGGAGGAAATTGGAGCTGTGATTGTTGGGATTGGAGGAAATTGGAGCTGTGATTGTTGGGATTGGAGGAAATTGGAGCTGTGA